GCATCATGGACTAATTTTGCATATTCATTTAATTGTCTTTGATCATGTGCATATCAAAATGTGTTATTTGAAGAATATGTAGAAAATAGCAGATTATAACTAGAAAGTAGTTGTCTTTGATCACAGCACCAGAGACACAATATTTTGATATTTACAAAATTCTATCATTCTATTACGAATGCAGGCAAAAATGAAGTGGTAGTGAGGAGTCAGGAAGTTGATATGACGGAATTGGCTTTACACAAAGGTGGTGGCTTGAGTGAACGTCTTCTCTCAACTCGTATAACCAGCAGCTGTGACGCAAGCTGGAGAGACGTATTGAGAGCACGTCAGTCACGAACATCTACTCAGAATGTCACTAGAACTGTCACTAAAGGGTCACCAAATCTAGCAACAGATATGGCAACACTGTTCAGGACATATTTGACAAAGACATGCAGGCAGTTCAAAGCAATCAGTGCATGTGGACAGGAGAAATGCAGGAGACTGGATGTAACGGAGCAATACAGAGAGTAAGAACACACTCTTACCTCAACTCTGCGCTTGTGTGTCTTGGAGGCTTTGTTCAAAATTCTTTCCATTTGCTAATAGAAATGAGCAGGGAAGAAAAGTGAATTAAAATACAGCTGGATCATTATATTAATAACACGTTATAAAAACAGCATTTTCTTGCGAAGAAGAAGGTGTCCTAACGTCACTACAAGGCCAGTAGAGATGCAGGTTCTCATTTTAACACTAATGAGACAGACATATCACTTTTTGAAAAACTTTAGTGGTTTTTCACCAAACAGTGTGGAACAATATGGTGCTGTGACTAATCAAATTTCATTAGCTATAATTTTTACTACTAAATTCTTTCGATTTTGTCCATTAGTTGGTGCAGCCCTAGATCACAGACTTGCACTCTAGTCAGCATGGAGCATGGAGTAATCTGAGATTTTGCCCAGCACTGCATTACAAGACCAGCTACATCTGTTTAAAGCCAAAAAAAAACAAAAAAACACCAAGTATATGCCTAACTACAATGTATAAAAAGACCATACGAAGGTGTACACACTCTTTTCTCCTGGATTTTGTCGAAGGCGATTTGAGCCGGTGTTCTTTTATCAACATAAGCCTTCTTGGTTGTTTCCTCGTCTGCTGAAGTGGTCAGCACCTGCTTTTCCAGAAGCTTTAACTCCTTGTCCTTCTTCTTCTTCCTATTTAAATGACATAACGTTATATTAAGTCAGAAATAAAAGACTTGAGGTCATGTCGGTATAGGAAAATAATCCATGGCGGGATGGTGTGATGAGGTAGGGTTACCATTACCACCCCAAAGCTGATTATTGGTTATTGCAATGCCGATGATTACAAGATTCTTTATTTATTAATGAACACCAGGCCATTCTTTTTTTTACCCGATTATAGTTACATCTAATACCGTAGAGTGTCCATGAAAGAAGTTCCTTTATCACTTACATTAGAGCAGCTATAAATGGTTATTCTCACTGGCCTCTCAAGGTTTGAAGGACATTTGTGGCATTTAGCAGATAAGACAACACTCTGCGGATGACAAGCTACAATTTTTTGCCTTCAAAACTTCAAAAAAGACTGGTGAGTGAACTACTGTTTATAGCTGTTCTAATGTAAGTGATAACAGGAATTAACTTGTCTCAAAGACACTGCACAACATTATATGTAACTATAAACGGATAAAAATTATGACGTTCTTTAATAAATTAAAAATGGTAATAGTCGGCAAGTTCCTGTGGTGTGAAAGGAATAAATCACTTCAGGACGTGCTGTTAGGGGAAAAATAATCAACTTCAGGGTGGTAACAGTAACTCCACTTCATCGCACTACCCTGACGTTGATTATTTTCCTGTAACAGCACGACACACGAGTGTTTTACTCCGAACATGACTAACAGTAACGTCCAGCTAATTCTGGCTAAAAACAACACAGCGTTAGCCAAGTTAGCTGACCGCATCAAAAAGGCTCCCATTTTAAAAATGCTATACATTCAGTATATGAGTATAAAAGCCATTATAATTTATATAGTTCGCTTAGTATAACGAATTAAGAAGTATGTAAGCTTTAGCTAGATTAGCTAAGCTATCAGCTAGACAAGCAGCTCATAAACAATAAAACCAAGAGCCTGGCTAGTTACACTAAAACAAACCACATCATTTTTAATTATTTTATTTTAACAGTGAAACAAAATACATACTTTTTACCAGCTGAAATATCTCCAGTTCCTTTCAGTTTTAAAGATCCTTTCTGAACAGATGCATATTCCGCCATCTTGTTGACGTTTTTCTAGAAAAGAAAAACGAGCCGGAAGTTTTGTATCCTTAGCGGAAGGAGTGTAAGGTCCTAGTAATTTATTTTTTTTATTATTTTTATTTGGATAATGCTACAAAGAAAGTTATAACCTTCCCATGTGCTCTCTCTAGACTCCAGTATCATACACATTAACAGTTATAGATACAGTTAATCCAGTTTAGCGACTTTAACACTGCGCATGCGCAACGCGCGGTCCGATTACGGAAGTGCCCCGGTCACGTGTCAATGTTTTACAGCATGGTGCAGGAAAATGGCTCTCAGTAACGTCCTGAAGTCTTTAAATGGAGTTAATCTCCGTCTGTTCAGTTCACACGCCCGATTTTGTGTTTGTGCTTTAGTGAACAGTTCCGTCCAGTTTCGCGGATATGCCAAAAAAGCCGGTATGTTTTTTTACTATTATTATTATTTTTATGCGGCGTTTCTAGGTAACTAGGCAACTAGCTAACGTCCTGGTACAAGTGCATAGCCTAGACCTGACCTTGGCTCACAGAGAATAAATAAGAAGCAAGTAATTAAGTAATGCATGTTATATAAACCATACAGATGCATACTGTTGATTTGGTAATGAAGCTGACTGTTAACACGTTAAAAAGAAATGTAAAAATGACAATGACAGGAGAATATTATTTCAGGTTTGAGTGCAATCATAACACACAGCATTTTCTCCTACTGTAATGCATTTGTGTTTGATCATGTTTCCTCAGCTGCTAAAGGAAAAGGAAAAGGCATGGTGAAGGATGTGCTGAAGGGCCCAGAGGTGTGTAAGGACATGGTGAGGCTGACTTCATACGCTGTGGGAGTAAACATCTACAAACAAGGAGAAGATCCACCACTGAAACCCGAAGAGGAATATCCAGCATGGTAAAGCATACAGGACATTATCAAATCATTTACACTGATTAATGTTCGCATCAGAAATGTTGGAAATTTGAAATCTGTAAAATTTGACGATTAAATGTGAAAGAAAAGGGCTGCACATTATAGAAAGTATGTTACAAGATATTAATGATCATTGGCTGTAATATCTAAGTGAGCCTTGTAAAAATCTATTATTATTCTATTGTGTGTGACGATATGCCTAAAAAATGGGTTTAAATTAATCGTAGAACACACAAATTAGTGGATGTACTGAATCGATTAAAAAGTCATTCTGCTAAGGTCATGAAACACTTAATAATAATAATAATTAAATTTAATTTAATTGCACTTTTACAAGAATTCTACATATACCCCATTTCTGCCTATGGCAAAACCCTGCTGCATTATTTTTTTATGACACAATAGTCATTCAATAGTTAAAATTTTATAGAAGATTAGCAGCATATTTGGATTGTAGTAGATCATATGAGCTAGATTTATATATTATACAGTCAGCTCCAGAATTATTGGCACCTTTAGTAAAGATATGAGCGAAATCTATCCAGTGGTGCCAATAAATCTAGAGCTGGCGATATGATGTTGTCTAAAGTGACACTTGAGGATGTCTCCAGGTTGTTCGAGGTGAATCTTGGGCCCCCCAAACAACTCCACGAGCTGGATCCGGAGAGCCACGGATACTGGAAGCGTTTGAGGAAGGAGCACATCTGGCGTTTCAATAAACTGCATAAAGGAAAGAAAATCTGAGAAAATCTGACACACTTGTTTGAACTTTGATACAGTCTCATTGTGGTGAGAAAGTGGAGGACTGATGCAGTTCAGACCATGATCAACTTTCCTTACATCTGATCTGTTAATCACGTGCACTGTGTGCTTCTCTGGGACTCGCCTGTGTCAGTCAACTCTTACGCCAAGTACTGGTGTTTATTTATCACGCTGCCTCAGGAGAGACGATTACAGAGTGTACAGGGAAATGTAGTTGCAGCTCACATCAACATTGTCCAAAATGGAAGAGTATGTCTTTATTCGACATCATGATGTTTTTGTATGTAAATAAAACGAACACTGTTCTTCTGAAGAGATTTTCCCTCAGTTGTTTTTTTTTTTTTGTTGTTGTTGTTGTTGTTGATGATGGTGGTGGCTGTGAGTTCTGTGAGATCTGATGAATGTGATTTAAATCAGTTTTATGTTCATCAAGCCATTCAGTGATGTGGACGGGAGCAGGGACATACAGGAAAAGACCACTCCCACCAGGATAGAAATGTTTCATTGTAGAATAAAGGTGATCAGTCAGTAGAACGTCCGTCTGTAGTTGTAGTTGTATTTTTTGTATATTTTAATTTAAAAACCATTTTATAACCATGTAATTTTGTAGTACATATATATAAAAATAATCATATTCCAGTTGTTTCTTGTACATTTAAATGGGCAGTGTTTCATGACAAATTACTGTTACTGTTACTACTACTGTTGAGCACTTCATACAATAACAAAAAAAAAAAATAAGTATTGTTCCGTGCAAGCACCCATGACAACCACCTTCAAAATCCTGAATTAATCCCTTGGTTCTACTTGGAATTATCTCTGACAGGGAAGCACTGTGTTGTAGGGATCTACATAGAAAACCTTGAGGGGTTCCCTCCTGGAGGACAAACTGAAGAGCCCGTTCAGGTAGATAGTTTAAGCTTTGTCTTTGTAAAGAAACTGACAAGCCATTATATATGGAATAAACATTTGGGGGCTTGCTGTTGCAAGAAAAGAATTATTTACAGGGATTTATGTTGTGTTTTATTAGGGTCCCTGAAGGACTAGTGGTTAGGCCTCGGTGCTGTCATTGCCGTGGTGCAGGTTCGATTCCCGGCCAGTTGCACAAGACAGTGCCGGTCCCAGGCCCGGATAAAATCAGGGAAGTTTGTGTCAGGAAGGGAATCTGGCATAAAAACTGGGCCAAATCAAATATATGCGGACCAGTGATCCGGTGTGGCGACCCCTAACGGGAACAGCCGAAAGAAGAACAAGAACAGCACTTATATTGTGTTTTATTCCTCTTGTACTACAGGGATTTGCCAACGATTACAATTTTACTTTATTACTTTTATTAAATAATAATGTCATATTTTATCTGTTTAGAGTTATAGTTACTGTTGTGTCCTCAAAACAAGTTAGTTCCTGTTCTCACTTATGCTGTAGCAGCTATAAACATTTGTTCCCTCACCAGTCTCTCTTTTTTCTCTCTCTGTAAGTTAATAAGACAAAAAAAAAAAAACCTCATCATATTACTGAGAACTCTTCTTTGCTGAAGACTTTCCTGTGTCTTAACTTAACTTACTGACTTACAAAACTCTGACACTGGAGACTCCTTCCATGAGTGTTAAATAAACGTCTCCTTACAGAAAACCTCACCATATCAACACTTACACGCGGTTTTAATCTGTTTATGTGGAGCGTCCGCTGTACAAGTCGCTGTGAATGAGCTGTTATGGAAGTAATAATGTATAAAAAAATAAGTGCGTTAATATAAAGCTATCATTTGAATTACAGCCGGCACTATTGTCAGAGCTGCTGTTACAGAAAATGAATCAACACCTTCTGGCCAATCAGAATCGAGAATTCAACAGCGCTGTGGTATAACCGATTAAATGTATCTTGATTTACTTGCATTGTGATGATGTACTTCCTCTTTTCCGAGTAATTAACGATGTGTGTGTGTGTGGGAGAGAGAGAGAGAGAGAGAGAGAGACACACACACAGAGAGAGAGAGACACACAGAGAGAGAGAAAGCTGTGCTGCGCTGTTGCAGGCGGAGTAGGCGAAAGTAAAACTCTCTCTCTCTCTCTCTCTCTCTCTCTCTCTCTCTCTCTCTCTCTCTCTCTCACTCACTCACACACACACACACACACACACCCCGAGCTGCAGTGTGAAGGTGCCATGCAAATGCGTGTTAGAAAGAGGAACTGCCGGCCCCAGCTCTTTACAGAAGCTGTTAAAGCTTCAGGATTCAGGATCTTCAGGGTCTGTGTTAGTGTAAAGCTTTGTGCTGGTGATCAAACTTACATGAGTGGATCCGACTGAAACGATGCATCTCTTCCTGTTCATGGTGCGAGATTTTTAAACCCTGGTTATTAAAAAAAAAAAAAAAAAAAAAGCTCTTTAAAGGCCTGCGAGTGAAGACACTTCCGGGAAACCCCGCTACTACATACAGGTAAACATTTCATTTAATCACGCTTTTTCACCCCATCATACTGAAGTGTGATTATATTTATATTCACTCTGATGGCGCTCGGGTTCATTCATAGACTGATATAAGGACAGCTGTCACACCAAGCTAGTGTCAGAAGCACACAGAGTGAGAAGGCTTGTTCCTTTCATTCACTGTAAAGTTCAGCATTTCACAGTCATTTGTACATGTGTGTATCTTTGGACTTGCTCATTTGAGTTGCAGTCATATGCTGATGACTCTACACTGTTCACTCGACCAGAGAACAGGACACTGAGCAGTGACAGCTTCTAACATGTAAGGCATGAGAAACTCATGTGTGTGATGTGCTGGCGTAGGAAAATAATAAACGGATAATAAAGCAGACTTACTGCTGCCACCACAATTTTTTATTCATTAAAGTGTATTTTATTAACAGGTAACAGTTCGTTGTGGGAACGTCAGTGGAACAAGTTAGTTCCTGTTATAACTTAAGTTATAATCAGTCGTTCGCTCACCAGCACAATGTTAAATAAAGGTGTCCTCACAGAAATCTTCTCCATAACGAAGAATTAAATGTTGTCTTTCTTAAATAAAAACATATTTGAATGAATCCATCTATTATTAACCCTATGTTATGCAAGTATCCGCCAAGTCCCTATGAACGAGCTGTTGCTCTAGAAATGATAACATGCTAGAACATGTGCATTAATACAAGCCTGTGATTGGCAGCTGCACTATTGTCAGAGTTGCTGGTATAGAAAATTAATCAACACTTTCTGACCAATCAGGTTCGGAAATTCGACAGTGGGGGTACTAACGGTTCACAAAATTTCAGGAAGGAAGCGAGTGTTATGGAAACTATAAAGGTTTGTACAACATTTATAGTTTCCATAATGCTTGCTTCCTTCCTGAAATATTGGGAACCGTTAGTACCACAACTGTTCAATTCTCGAATACGTAGATATGTTCATAGAAAAACCCAGAAAACCTGACAAATTCTTACAACCAAAAATCCAGAGAAAAATAAGTTCAGAAATGATTGTATTTAAATAAAAACTGTTAGTTTGGTTGGGCTCTTTTGAGGAGAGCCATAAAGGTTTGACGTGGAACTTTACAACGCAGGGTTTCCCTTTCAGAGGAAGTTTCTGGTAGAAGCTCTTCATAAAGCTAGAACCATTAACCATTGAAAGAACCCTCAAGGAACCCCTTTTTCTAAGAGCATATAACAATACTACAGTATTACTGCTAACATACAGTAACCATTAGAGGTTTCACTTGGTTCGTGGTGGTTTTGTAAAAGGTCGTAATGGTTACTGGTGACATGTTTTTGATGTGTTTTTGGTGTTCTCTGAGCGTAATCTGTTATGATTTAATGGTGTTTTAATGGATCTGGTGGACTCCTGTGATATTCACATCTTTACCAAAGAAACAGGACAGTGCAATGAAATCACATCGGGCCAATTTTTCATACTGGTACAACAATGTAATTAAAAACACACTAATTATGTGTTGTGGACCTGAATTAATAATCAGGGAACCTCTTGGGGACCATAACAACCATTATCTCTTCTGATAAGAAGAAGTTTAATGCAAACCATGAAGTCAATTCCCATCAGGAACTGAAACAGTGTTTCCTCTTCAGACAGCTGTTGAATTAAGACAAGGAATAAAAAGAAAAATCGATTTAACCAAGCATTTAACAGTAGGGCTATGACATAAATAACAAAATAATATAAATATTGTAATAAATTATATCACAATACAGTGATCCAAGAGGATTACAGGAGCACTTTTATAAGACTGAACAGTTCCATTATTACAGTTAAAAGTAGCTGATCAATTGTTAAAATTGTTCTATTTTTATACAAAATGTTTAATTTTCATATTTGTAGACATTATTTAAGGTATTGTTGAACTCATGTTCTCTCTTTTTAAATGTGTTACTACTGTTTTGATAGCTCTCTAAATTTTGTAATACATATTATGTGTCATGAAAATGTTGAAGTATCATGATATGATAATTTACCATATATCAGCTTTTGTAATATATGGACACTTTTACTTCTGCTCCTGTATAGTACTGGCCACAAGTTCCTGCTTTTTCTACCTGAATTGTTTTAACTGTATGATGTATCGGACAGAATTTCACCAGTTGAACTTAACACTGTATTCTATTCACGGCGTAGTAATGTGGTGTCCCATTGTCTACAGTCATCTTTTAAGGTTTTATAACAATACAACTGTCACATTTACTTAACCAGGGTATTTGTGATTTACTTAATGTTCAGGGAAACAGAACTACAAGGAACCTATCAAATGAGCAGAGTTCAAAACTATTACCCATGAAATGGCAAAGCGTGGGCACAAACGAAAGTGGCCTCAATGCCAAAGAGCCTTAAGAGTAAATTCATGGAGACTTGAATCAACGTAGCTGCCATGATCACTCAGCATGTCCCTTTTATGAGTAACTCAAGCACATTTTGGGTGATAAACCCACTTGTTGCTGCCCTCTTTACCATACCCATAGCTGCAAAAACACCAAAAGCTCATCATGTAGCCTCTTTTACCTTCTCTCCCTGTTCATGTGCAGCTGATGTGGTGTTTGCCAGCCTCCAGGGCAAATTGTGATGCAGGCTTGGGCTCCTAGCACATTCAGTTCTTGTTATACTGTGATAGACTGTCTCAAACATAAAATCTTGATGTCTCAGACATAAGATTTTGCTGAATCATGCAAAATTATTATCAATATGCACATACCAGGCACTTCAGGGAACAGGTGCATTAACATTTAAGACAGATATGGATCACTTATGAATGTGAGCTGATAGGAGCAAAAAATCAGAGCTTGTAATGCGAATGTAGCCAAAGTTCTCTTCAACTCGGTAAATCCCTTTTCATGTTCCGCCATGTTCCTGATGGCAGATGCAAGTGGAAATCAGAATTGAAGAGAATGGGACATCACTATCTTCAGTAACCTTTTGGCTGAAATTTACAAACCTCAGCAATTTTAACACTTATTTGTAAGAAATGTTCATTCATCTTCATTAGAGAAACTGAGTTAAGCATAGAAAGCCTCATGTTGGATGTTGAAAACCATTTTTTAACCATATTGTTCCACTTTTAGTTACAATATACATTGTTTATATAAACAGAACAATTGTAGTGCAAGTATAAATTTCCATTACAATTAATTGTTGCACCAAGTAGCAACCTTGTTTCTTGTTTCTTGGGTCTTGTTTCTTGTTCTTCTAGCCATAACTCATAACTCACATTTGCCATACGAAAAATTAACATGTGTATTTGATTTGCTTTAAGAAAACATTCAGAAGAACAACACCAACAAAACCAATCATTTACATTCCGACATTCCTTCCTGTAAAAACCTAGTGGGTGACTTCATTAACGTGCACCAGTCTAACCTGTACAGATTAGTAAGATCAACATTAAGATGCATTATCATTTTGTAAGGAACAATTATGTAAGGAACACATGAACATTTACTGTACACACTGTTCCTGTCACAGCAAGGCAAAAAAAATACTATTAGTCAAAAGTGCTTTTATATCGCCAGTGTTCCTGGTGTACTTGCATACATGGGTGGCACACACCTAGCAATTACGCCACCTATGGATAACGATAATGATTGTCAACAGAAAGATTGTGGGTGATCA